CACCACCACCAACACTAGGGAACCCAGACAGTACGCCGATATTCACCCAACGTTACGACGTTGTCTGTTTCAGAGGAAATGCACAAATTTATAGCGGAACAGCTGAACACGTCGCGCGTGCCGCTCTGCATAAATCCGCAGTCCGCGGCGTTCAAGAGCTTCGCAAGGTAAGCCCTTAGGTGGCGGATCATTCGTAGATTGATTGATTTAAAAAAAAAAAAAAAAAAAAAAAGAAAGAAAACGATCGATATATTGGGATTTCGCAAGCAGGCGCAAGAAATGAGAGAGATACGTTATTAGGATAAAAACGAAAAAAGAAGGAAGGGAAGGAAAGGGGTTCTTCATCGGTTTTAGGGAAAATACGTATGGGGGGAGGGGGGGGGGTAATAATACAGGGTTCCTCGAGAATCGAAGAGCCTCCTCCTCTCGTTCAATTTTCCCTTTGCCGTTCGCGATGACCGCAACCTTCCTGATCCTTTTCTCCTGTGAAAAAAAAAAAAAAGACCACATTTCGAATCTCGTGCGGAAGGGATATTAGATAAATAAGGGGAGGGAGAGGGTGGGAGGCGCGTGTATATACAGAGAGAAAGAAAGAGAGAGAGAGAGAGAAGAGGGGCACACAGTGTATTTTCCTTTTTCCAAGTCGATCTGGTAAGAGGAGAGGAATTGGATTGAGAATGGAAAAAAGAAGGAGGGGGAGAAAAGAGAAGAGATGGACAAAAGAGAGGGGAGAAAAGGCAGAGAAACGGGCATAAGGGCGTAACGTAGAACGGAAATTAAAAACGAGGTGGAGAATGAGGGAGAAAAGAGAAAGCTGATGGGGAGAGAGAAAGAGAGAGAGAGAGTGTGTGTGTGCGTTTGTGGAAGCGAAATGAACGATCGAAAGGAACAAGGAGAGAACGATCTTTTGTCCAAGAACCACCCTCCTCGCCGATGTCCTTTTGCTCTCTGCGTTCTGGCCCTCGAAAAACTTCGTGGTCGATTCTTCTCCGCGGGGTGCGGAGAAACGATTAAGAATTTAACCTTTCCATTGTTGTTGTTGTTGTTGTGACGCAATATATATCGTATTTTTTCACTCGTGAATTTATAACGTGATTATTAACAGTATCAAGAATTATGATAATACAAATCAAAGAAATGCGATTCCTTGCTTTGTATAACATTACCAAGATTTATAATATTCGTTCGTACGCATATACGTTTTATATTGCAAAAAATATCGTTGAATCGAGCGCCTTTTGTCCCCTGATTCCTAGAAAAAAGAAAAGAAAAAACAAAATTGAAAAATAAGAAAGAAGAAAAACCTCTTACTGTTATTGTGACAGACGCTGTGTGCAAACTCTTGGTACATAAAAGACATGGAGAAAAGAGAAAGAGTGAGAGCGTGTGTGTGTGTGTGTGTATGTGTGCGAGAAAGAGAGAGAGAGAGAGAATTAAAATTGAGATCTTGAGACATAAAAAAAAAAAAAAAAGAAAAAATGGATCATTAAGGTCAAAAGTAAAAGGGTCAGAAAGAAATGAAAGCTTGTTGTTCGAAGAGAAAAGCGCTTAGAATTTCTAAATTAATCTCCCTTAAATCCCTTAAGAAAGCTAATAAAGAAAAAATGATAATGATAATAATAATAATAACAATAATAATAATAAAGAGAAAAAATAGTAGAGAAAAAAAAAAAATTCATTCTTTCTTTTCATATGTGATCTTGAAATGATGTGTAACATTATTTCTCGTGTTGCTTACTGCCGTCAAGTTAGAGCAAGCCGATCGCCGACCCAGCGCCCTACGCCGCGTATACGTACACGTTACTACCACTACCAGTACCGAATCAGCTATCTACCACTGTCAGCTACTATCGACTACTACCGCTATCGTCTACCACTACTACTACTACCGCTACTACCACTACTACTACCACTACTACTACCAATCGTGTTACGTCTCCTCCTGAACGAACCGAACGAACAGAGAGTCAGCTCTAGCCGGCGTGACCTCGCTCGCTGAGGTACTTGAACAAACCATTTTACCAAGCATATCTTTTTTGCATTTTTTTCCCCCCCCCTTTCTTTCTTTACTTGTTCTCGATCAAATTTTTATCCGTGTATCTCGTTTCGATTTGTATCATATATTTTTCCATTGTATTTTTTTTTTCTCTTCTTCTTCCTCCTCCTCGCATCTTTACTTTCTCTCTTCCTCCCTTTCACCCCTCGTTTCACCCCTGTTTGATCGAACAATATTTATTAGTAACAAAGTATGATAAATACATTTCTTACTGTGGTACCGTTTTAATTTTAAAATCTCGTCTTGCTTCTTACGTATTTTTTTTTTTTTTCTGTTTTTTCTTCTCTTTCTTTTCT